CAGGGCATGGGGGTCCAACAAACCGAGCCTCCCCCAGGGCACGACGGGGCAACCTCTTCCCCAGAGACCTCCCGCTTCACGCCATTTCCCTCGCGCGTCCCGGCCATCGGCCCCCGGCCGGGGCAGGGTGCAGCCTCGCGGGCAGCCGGGCGGGCGGGCAGCCAGTGGCCCAGGGGCCCGGCAGCCGATTTTGTCTCGCAGCCGTGCAGCAACAGGAAAATCCGCTCACCTCGGGTCGAGCTGCGAGCGGGCGCTGGGGCCGGGGGCACACTGACTGCCCCTTCCCGAGCACCGCGTGCGCCTCGCTACGCCACAGCCGGGGCAGCTGCCTGCCTTCATGCGGGGTAGTAATATTAAACCTCGTTCTGCCTTTTAAATGGCTTCCTTAAACAGGAACCGTATGTTCTATTTATACAGAAAAGGCTATAAACAAGGAAGTCTTAAAAAAAAAGGCCCCCGCACGGTCCATTCTGCAAGGGTCACCTCGCCTCGGTGCATCGGCCGGGCGGCCACTGTCGCCCTGCACCCCTGCTGTGTCCTGACCCTGTGGGGACATCCTGCACCCCCCAGCACACACAGGACCCACTCCCTGACAGCGTGTGGGTGGGCTGCGACACGGGGGCATGAGGCAACCCCTGACGAAGGCCAGCATGCTGCTCTGGCTGCTCAGGGCAGGAATCTGACAGTCCCCTAAGAAACCTTCTCAGGGGCTGCTGCAGCCCCACGGGGTCTCTGTGTGGTTCTTTCCCCGAATCCCCCCGCTCGCTGCAGACCCCGGCCCTGGGGGCAGGCAGGCGGGGGCTGCCCCTCCTCTGGAGCCACATCGCAGCTCCGCAATGGGGCTGCGCACCCACGGCTGCCATGGGAGAGCAGCCCCGCACTTTGCCGGGGGTTTCCTCGCCCCCGGTTTTACGAGCTGGATAATTTTCCCAGCACTGTCTGGTTTCTGGGACCTCTTGCAAGAGCGTCCATGTGAGCACGGAGTTTGTGCCATTATTTGGAGAAAGCAGGACCTTTGACAATGAACCTTGGCCAGCTTTTAAGCTGTCCTTTGATTGCTGCCAGAGGACTTGTCTCGGAGGAAAACACGCTGCGTTGATAAGCACGCTGCTGCGCTGCTCGCCTCTCGCACGCTGCTGGAAAGCATGTCTCTGTCACAGGAGGGAAACCGTGTCACCCTCCTCTTCCTCCTCCTCCTCCCCGGCTTGGCACAACATGTTAAACACATTCTGCAGCACGGGGAGCCGAGGCAGAGCGGGGCTGGCAGAGGCAGCCCGGGGTGAAGGGGGCCCAGCCCCCGGGTGCTGGCACCGCTCGCATGTCCCGTGTCGGTCACGGGGACACAACCATATGAAATGCTTGTGTGGCACACGTATGTCCACCGACGGGATCTCATCCAAACGGCAAGAACTGAGACAATACCTTCAAGTGCAGCAGGCAGTACCTGCGAGGAGGGAGGGAGGGAGGGCGGGAGGTGGTGACAGCACTGTGGGGGTCCCTGGGCTGCCGATCCTGGGGTCCTTCAGACAGCATCACCCCTGAAACCCTGCTGGGAAGCGTGGCACGGGGCTCCCCCCGACACCCCTCCCAAGCCAACCCTTGCCAACAACAGCTGTGTTTTCATCTCGTTCCACCAAACGACTCGGAAAATCTTGGCTTTTTAACACTTTGGTGACCCTGGCATCAGCGCCCTTCCTCCCCGGGGGCTGCTCCCACCACCGTCCCCCAGGGCTGGTCCCGGTGTCCCGGCTGTGGACCCCGACCCCGCGGGACAGCAGCCGGGGAACCGAGAGCTCTTGGATCCACGCGAAACCCCGGTTCCCCCACGCTGCCGTGTCCCGCTCCCGCACTCCTCGGCGTGGGAAGCGGTGTGGGGCTCTTCTCTCCGGCGCGGAGATGCCAACTGCACCGCGGGCTTCGGGCACCCTCCAGCCCCCCAAGTGTGGCCGCAGCCCGATGTGTTCCCTCCGCCGAACCCCCGCAGCGAGGGCAGCCCCGACCCCGACCCGCACCGGCCCTCCCCGGGGAACATCCCCCGCCCCGCAGCCGGGGGGAACGGCCACCGCTGCCCCCACACCCGCTCCCGCAGGAAAACACCGTCTCTGCCCGTCCGAGCGGGCCCCGGGCACGGGCC